AACCAAGCTTTTGAGGATGTGTACACGTTCGCTGGTGTTCTTGCTCAGTTGAAGGAGAATAACAGTGAGGGTCTTAGTGATGCTCTTGGACGATGGCAGAAGGGAAGACAGGAGCGTGTTGATAAGATCATTGAGCTGAACAATGAGATTAACAAAAGGAGGATGCCTAATCAGGGTGATGTTGAGACGAAACCATTTGATATTGACTGGCTGTATTCGGTCGATCTGGACGAGATGGTACGAGGCTTTGTTAGTGGTAACTAGAGTGGGTTGGATTGAAGATATGCTTATCAGGCAATGGATTAGTGTTGCTACTGTTATGGAAAGGTTACTGTAGTGGACATTGTAAAAGTATAACGAGCTGTCACTTACTGTTTAACCTGTTTAACTTTAAGTTCAAAAGTTAAATTATGAATATAATGTACCTAAAGTATTCCTTAAAACAAAGGCAGTTTATTAACTAACTTATTTGGTTTTATACCCAGTCCTTTGAACCCTCTCTGCACGTGATAAAACGAGTGACTCAAAAGACCAAGGTAATGAATATAACATCCAAAAGAAATAAGCCAGAGCCATACCGGCACAAGAAAATAAGAGAGTTTAAAGAGCATATTCGAAAATCGCTGGAATATACTGTTGATTGTAGATGTAATTGATATTAAAGGAAAAGAAGAGCCTTAGAACTCATCTTATACCTCAAGCAACACTCATAGACTCTACTATACAATAACTGTCTGTGCTAATAGCTACGGCAATCTAGATACAGATATAATCATAAATGCGTATGAATGCTAAAGAACAAATCGTATTCGGTCCCAAGGTGTTTACTTATCGCCGAGCGAAAAGTGCGGGGATTAATTAAATCTGCCGAAGTGGAAGCTGCTGACCTATCTGAAACACTACCCCTGGCAGCATCTAGCACTGCAGTGAGATTTGTGGCACTATTCTACAATGTAACTTCTATTGCGCCATATATTGTGATACATAAATGGCACAGTACATCGACAAGGTTCAGGGTTCTTAAGGATTCTTAATATAACTCATAACTTTATTACCTCACGGTAGGTTTAGTTATTGTACCTATAATTACTAGCTCGGTCCGTAGCCTTTCGATAGTGAGTAGTTTTAGTAATTATATATGGATGTTAGTATAATCGATTGCAGTTGGCCACATATTAAATGCTCTGCTGTTCGAAGACTGTGTACAGGTGCTGCTTCTTGGGCCAACATGATCTATGATACACATTCACATTGTCGATGTTAGCGCTTATTAGCGCGACTAACACACTGTTCACAGGATGGTTGTATTCAGGGTCAATAAAATCCTGCTCGGAACCGACTTAACTTACGTCGGGACCGAAAGCAAGTATCTGTGCTGAACTTCATAGTTTAAAGTACCAATAGATTTTTACCATTACCCCAGAGTATGAACGACGGATTGCCTGGGAATTTCAAGGTTTGGTAAATAAAGTCTATTGAGTTAGTCCACCACGTATCTAAAAGCACAGATCAATTCGAATTTACTTTGAGGCATTTCCAAGTGCAATACTTGATTAGGATACGCGATGTAAGATTACTTAAATATCTCCTAGAGAAACATGAAGCCTTGATAAATACACATGTTTTGAGGTAGACCCCGCCTACTTTCGCTCTTGGAATTCTATTGACTTAATACAACGTTAGTATTTCACTATGTGGCTTATCGCAAACATATCTATCGTGGCTAGAAATCATGCCCTGATTATCTCTGGGTTCTTATTAACGGCACTGTCTGTCTTGTGTGTAATTTTAAGGACCATCACCCGCACGATATTGGCTTACATTGGCTGGGAGGATTGGCTTGCCATCATTGCTGCTGTTCGTGGATATTCCCTATACTTCTTTCTCCAATTTATATCGTCTAATGCCTTCTCAGTTCGGGGCCGTCGGCTTTCTTACGGCATCTATGTTCAGTAACTACAGAGAGCACATATCCCCGCCAATGTTAGAACTGACATAAATGCTAAGCATTCGCTTTGTACTTGGAGATGTGGTTTTACCCGCCACGTTGCAACGATTCCTTCAGGCTCGCCTTGCTACAATTATTGCCTATAACTTCACACAGCTCGCCGTGAAGTTTTCGACATTGGTACTGTACAAAAGATTTTTACGTTGCCTGTCGCTCAACGTACCTTCACATATCTTATCTGCTGATATGTACACTACCCTGCCTAATTTTACCAATGTCCTGCTGGCCTGTTGCCAAGTTTTGGGATCAGACCATCCCTGGACGATGCGTGAATCAAGGAATCATGCAATATACGCTGGCAGGCATAAACGTTTTCAACGACCTGGCTATTCTTGTTGCACCCTGGCCCTTTCTCAAGGCTTTGCAAATTTCATCGAGGGCAAGGATTGCGCTTATGGCTGTTTTTGGGTGTGGAAGCCTGTAAGTATATGCTCTTTGGTCGGCTCCTATCGCTCAAACTCCTAATGCAATCTAGTGTATGCCTAGTGGCAATATTGAGGCTTTACACGATTTATGAGTTCAGTTCTGCGACCGATCAACAAAAGACGCGTGAGTTGGTATTCTAGAACTGGTTACAGTCATTTAACTGACATCAAGTATTAGGAGCTACGGGTGTTGATCTTGTCATTTGGTCAGGCGTTGAGATCAACTTGTCTATTATTTGTACCTCGGTGCCTACGCTCAGATTGTTAGCAAGGAGAGCTTTTTCAGGTTACGCATCACGCAGCGAGTCTACTGAACCGATACAGCTAAGCTAGCCAGAATCCAGCGGTGTCCGATGAGTTGATATACCAATGAAGTCGCTACTAACAAATAAGTCCTTTACTTATAGAGATTGTGAAATGTTAGTGCCTCCTGCTTTGAGTTAAGAAATCATTAGTATCTATTAAGTTCTTTACCTCCCTAATTGGAATAATTAATCCCTCCTGGCACAAGTTTCTGAAATACTCCTTGAGGGTCATACTTCTGGCTAACAGATTGTATTTCGCGCTTGATGGCTTTGTCATAGCTATCGATTGGGTCCTGCGACTTGTCCGTATATTTTAAATACTTGCAAGAAATGTAGAATCTCTTCCTATAAGACACGTATTTGGTTGTTCATGATCACCTACAAGGCCTTCTAGACCTTACCATCGTCTTCGCGATCGGAACAGGCAGTTGTCAATACAGCCACGACAAATTCGTATCCACCAGGTTCGAGACTTAACGTATTTATTCCATTAATCACAGCATGTGGTTGAAGGAGATGAACGATCTGAAGATCAGCTATAAGTCTTGTGCCCTCTTCCCAGAGGCCGTATACAAGCTCGAATCACCGTTTTGAAACAAGTACATAAGGCCCATAGTCCTATGTGCATGTGTCAGATTCAGAGTTAGTGTGCACTCCGGCACAATGATTTACCTCGAGTTTCCTTCAAGTAAAGACCCGTTGGTTTTCTTGGTGATGTATGCGACATTCTCAAGGCCAGTATTGCTTGAACGTTGGCCAGGGATAGAAAGAAAGGATGAATAAACGGGTGGATTATCTTGGCAGACCTCCGGTCTGAACTCAATTCGACCTGATTCATGGCTCGCATATCAACCGTGATACCACCTGCAAAGTTTGCAGCACTGCCCCAAATCGTATGGCCGCCACTGCGGAAGGTGAACTTGTGGCTTCTAGGACTACTATTCTTGGTCACTTCTCTAACGAATCGTGCCACCTAGGAGCTCCTAGTAGGTGCAAAGACGTAACAGGGCCTTAATTCTCTCTCCTGGCCAGAGTAGTAGGGCGAGCCTGAGCGATTGTATCCACCACTTAGCGGCAGAAGGACGCGGTGTGGCATAAGCTCTTGAAGCTTCAGACAAAAGGCTCCATCTTCTCACGCTTGAATAAACTATGGGAAGAAAGTGAGCAGGATAAACGCGGACAACGTCGTAAATTGACGAAACATGTACAATGGTGTCGAGATTTGCAATGTTTGGCTGATGGATAATTCAGAATATCTGAGGGATGTTTCCATTCAAACATGTCGCCGTCGACTACTGTTATTCTAATGCACTTTCGGAAAGTTCATGCATAGTCGTCATCCGGCGCGATTTGAGTGGTAGACGTGGGCAATTACTGTGCAAGCGTGCATGGAGGAACATGTGCGAGACCAAGAACAACAAGCCTCGCTAACACAACATGTCGGTATGACCATGACGATGCCCAAAAATAGAAGCGATGCTGACATCGAACCATCTTACCTATAAGAACGACTAGTACCCGGCCCATGATGTAGATCATCTTCGTTGTGTGGCTGAAGGGAGAAGCAGAAAAGTGGAAAAGCGCACAGAGCGTCAGACATGCATCTAGGTTTCAAATTTCATTGACTTGTGCAAGGTGAGATCATTCGGGCCGAGAGTCTTGATGCGACACGGTCGGACTCCCGGAGGGAACAGCACGTCGGTACCGAAACTCGAGATGCCAGCGTACTTTCCAAACAGGCAACACTATTTGTCGATCACTGGCACAGGCATTGTTACGCGTCTGGTTAGATGAGCTATAGAGGTATGATAGTGATATTGATATTTTACCTCTTCATATCTATTTGCTTACTTTTATTTCTGTTTATTCTATTAGTAGGGGCGGTTGACAGTCTATTTAATTAATTTAGCCAACTTGAGCCAATGGCCTAAACTAGCCAGTAATTAAACTGTAAATATGACTGCGCTTGGATACTATCTCCAGTGCTATATCTTGTTTTCATTTGTCCAAAGACTTTATAAACAAGCCAAGCAACACGTCCTTAATTGAGGTACCCTATAGGCGGAGGATACGCCAGGTCGTTGGTGACTTTGGTTGCCTCAGGCATTAGCATTCTTATTCCTGACCCACAACTTTCTGTGGTAGCCAGCTATCTTTGTCAGACTCCTAACCTACCCAAGGCATATTCGTTTTGCAGGGCTAGCCGCCTTCATCACCCTGAGACTCGGTGTTGGCGGAACCTGGTGTCTTGCTAGGACAAATATGGATCAGTTCTGTTCCCTCTGTGGAGTCATCCTTGAGCCATGCGAACCTCTGCCAGATCCAAGTGATCCTCCAAAGCGACTGGATTGGAAGCGAGAGATTCGTGCAGGTTGGTACAAGTACCTCTCCTATAGTTTCCGAAGCTCACCCTATCAAAGTGGCCTCTGATGGAGGATTTTCACCCGTGACCTGCACTGGTGTTGGCTTCCTAGACCCAGATCGTCACGACCTCCTGGCTAGCAGTGACCCTGAAACATCGTACATGAACCCAGGACATGGAGAAACATGGAGTCGCCATCCCTTGATCAGCTTGCTGTCTGATGAACGGGCATTTGGTTTTCACGAAATCTGCTGGCAGTTGCTTCTTCAAAAGGTTTCCTTAACGCATCATCACCCTGCTAAGCCGCAACGTATCGCTCAGCTTCTATTCCAGCTTCTCTACTGCCTGCCATATGACAATTTCGACATGCCATGCCACAGCCATGACTTTGGTGGCGCCCTGGCTTTCTGCAGAAAGGATCCAGAGGACTTGCCCAGGCCCTGGAGATTCCTTATGGCTGATCCTCGCACTTTCACTTTTAATTCTACAAACCCAGCTCCCAGAAATAATTCCATACTCCCTCGAGCCACGACTGACTCTCAGATACATGATGATATATTCGCCAAGCTTTCGCCGGAAATGGTGCATTTGATAATTACCATGTTGGAATCAGCAGATCTTTGCAACCTGCGACTGTCATCCAAGTTTGTGTCTAAGCTGACCAGTCCGGATCATCTGTCGCAGAACTTCTGGAAAAGCCGCTTTTCGGTCGTTCGAGAGATGGGCTTCTTTTTACCGTTTTCAAATTTCAGGATCGATTGGAGAAGTCTTTACTTCAACTTGAGGCATAGTATACTTGACAAAACGGAAACTGGCCACATGCGCAATCGCCGCCGTATTTGGCTCTGCTTAGATGCTTTGGCTCAAACCTTGATCCCACTTCTTGACCAGCAGATTTGTCTCCAAGACCTCGGAAGCGTTCAGTTGGATGTGGCTTCAGAATGCTGTGAGTCTAAACGGTCTGTACATACCCCGGCATTGAACGAGGATTGTCGTGACGTTCCGATGGGTGCACGATTATTTGGATATCAATCTATCATTTTCAGACCGCAGAACTTGGGGCCTTACTCGAAGATATCCGTGTCACGCATACTTTTTGATGGAGTATATTACATATCTGGCATAAGAATCTCCGAGGGTAACGACATGGAAATCTTTGAAGAGTTCTCTCGTGCTGGTTACATCATACCTCAGGATGAAGTTCACATATGTCTCCATCCAAACGATTGCTTGACTGGTATGCGGGTCGCTGCCTCTGCAAGCGGTATAGTTGGTCTCAGTTTTCGAATCAGAACCTGGACCGACGATATCGTTTGGAAGAATATAGGTGTTGTTACTGATCTTCCTGACGGTGTCGGGGTCGCAAACATGGAGCCGTGTCATGATACACGGCTGAGGGGAGTAATATTGGGACTTGATGTAAGATTTGTTCTATACGAACTAGTATCCGGCTAACAGGACATTTAAGGCATGCAGGATTGTGTCACTTCAGGTTTTGGAGAGAGTCCAACGTCAAAAGTTGCGGGATACTCCAACGCAAATAGCAGACTATAGATCTGCGCTGTGGCATCCTGACGAACCCGACACCTCTGGCCGTGACATCATTTATCCTCCTACGCCTGTATTTACGCGGGCGGACGACCCCTTGTTTCTGAACATGGACTTTGGAGGCCCTGGGGGGGCCTTGGTCTCACGTCTCAACCGGATCTCTGCTTTACACGATGAGACGAGCGGCCACTTCAGAGGCTTTGCCTTTTACTATATAGATGGCCATACAGCAAGTTTCGGCCTGAGGACGGTCATCACTAGTGCGAGCAAGCGTTCTACCTGTATCGAGCAGTCCCTTTGCATAGACGGGCCATCAGGTGAGAGGATTGTCTCGCTGGAAGTTCAAACTTCTAAGGCCTATGTGAGCGGGGACATCCGCGCTATCAAGGTACAGTTTAGGTCATCGTTTCGCAAGCAGAATCCGACATGAGCTAACACAGTTGATTTAAACTTTAGTTGAGGACGAGCTATAACCGGAATATGGAATTTCGAACGATGGCTAAGCTAGGAGAAGAAGAAGAGAAATATTCACGACAGATCATGTCTTCACCTACGGGGATGCCCATTTCAGCGATACTTGCTAGCGTTGAGGTAAATACTAAATCTGACTTGGTTTCCCTCGTATGCAAATAGCTAAACAGTCTTAACCCTGCAGTTTTGTTCAGGGGCCGTCCAATCGCTGGGCATACAGTATGCGTGTAGTACATCTTCTACGACTCCACTCCTCTCGCGAATACCTTTCACAGATACCAGTGCGGAAGAGGACAACCCGCATAATTTTCCAAACAGTAAAGATGTAATGTATAACGCACCTGCTAATTTTTGGCGCGGCAACGGCTGCTTCACGTCGGTCTTGCTAGCTGGTGTACGACGCATAGGTGTGTCGACAGGTATGCCCGGGCGGACAAGGGGGCTTGATCACATCGCTGGTCTTTGCTTCGAGTTCTGGGGCTCAACAGAGCAAGTTTACCTAGGACAGTGGTATCGAGAAGTTGGCTGCCTGTCAGTGAAAGAAGATGAAAGAATATGTGGCTTCACCTTCTGGCAGCAGCAGGAACATTTGTCCCACGGTCTCGATACTGTATTGCAGAGCGATGGCAACATTGCGGGAATCAGGATAACCAAGACCGGGCTTGGGCAGACAGATATGGAGATTATTTTGGGGGATAAGAACGATATGCTCCCATACGCACTTACGGAGAATCCCTACGAGCGACTGGTGAGATACTCCCCAGCCATGACGAAGAATGGGCTTGGTTCTAACATTCTGGAAGACAGGGCTAGCCTGGGTTTTCAATCGCGAGTGCGATTACACCTACGGCCTCACACGACCTTCACACCATTTCCCGGGAGTTTCTCTAGCCTTGAGGTACATGTTTGGCCTATGGCCGGCGAGTCGGCCACCGGAAAAACTGACTTGGCTTGCTGAGGACGAAGAGGGTAGTCTACTCAAAATCTCTAAAATGCACGCTGTCTTCTCCCGCACGTCTGGAAAGCTCTGCGGTTTCATCTTCGACTACGGCGCTGGCCAGATATCCAGAACCGCGGGATCGGGAGATGGTGTCAAGGCGTCTTTTGATCTTGACAGCGAGGAGTATATCATTCGCATAGCTTTGCAGGTTTGGAGAAACGAGAGCGAAGTAGTGGTAAGCGATGATATCATGGATTTTCCAGTTCAACTCTAATGAGCGATATCAGTTCTACACAAGTGCCGGGAGGGTACACGCCCTGTCCGCTTCTGGTTCATGCGATCAACCACGGGAGAGAGACCCGACAGCTTACGAGGAGTTCGATTGCGGTGATCTGAAAGATGGGTCACGCTATCGGGATAAGAGTAATGAGTGCGTTGGAATATGGATCGCGATGGCATGGCGACCTGGATGTACAAATCTTGTCCACACGGTTGGTGCTATCACTATCTCAAGAGCCGGTAGCTAATAATACAGTGATAAGCACGTTGTTGGTATTTCTCGTAGAAGTTGTTTGGCCGGTCTGGGAATCACAAAAGCAGGCCAACGATCCTAGTTTTCATTTTCAAATCAGCTGGTAAAAGCTTCATTCGATTTGAGTGAGGCTTCATCTAATTACCTTGGTACAGAGAGTATGCTCCTGCATTGAAAACTATATCTTAATATCCTTCCCGCTTCTCCAAACCTAATCAGGACTATATTACTACATGATCAAGACACACCATATTGTTTATGCATTTGTGCGTAGTCCCAACCCCTAGACCTGGCTTCCTCCATGGCTTTCTCAAATGTGCACCGATCGCTAGCCTTGCCAAGGTCCAATTGCCAGAACATTGGCTTCAAAGACGTCTTTTTTATTTCGTCCTTCCATTTATAGACTTTGACTTTTGTTCCGATAGCCCTAAACATGGTCCATGACCGATCGGGATTATTATTCTGCAAATAATCTTTCAGTTGATCGGCAGCCAATTCCCAACCCTCATCGGTATCATGCTCCCAACTTTTACACTGAGCAACGAAGATTTCATGCTCTTGGAATTCACCCGAGGGTTTAGCCCAGACTTTTCAAGGATAGCGTCTACTGCTTGATTATCGGGTAGTGTGAAGGCCTTTATGGCAAACTTGTGGGCTTTCTCCCCAAGGGCGGGAAACTAAGTACTTAAGATGGTGGTCCAAAGAATGTGAATGGGTTGTATGTCGACGGCTTTCTCTGCTGCGAAATACTGCTCATGAAACCGACGTTCTGAGCATTGAAAATGAGTCCATCATGCATGTTGTCTGATAGTAACGTGACTTTCAATTATGGCCGATGCTTGAGACAAGATATCTTTGGATGGTCTAGGACAAGATTTCGACCTTAGGATGTCTAGTCGAAGTGGTTTTGGAGACGTTGAAGCCTTATAGGAAGTTCGAATGGTGCGGAGATCGATTGTTTGCCTCAGGCAACCTAACCATGCCAACTGACTCCGAGCCCAGGATGAAGTACTCCGTAAAGCTAGATAGATAGAGGCTTAGCCGTTGTCGCAGAACAACTAAGGTTAGCTATGGATAATTTGGGTTACATAGAAACCAACTTCTCTGCCTCATTTTCCTACTCCGAGGCCCCCCTTCGGTATCGTCGGAATTGTCAAAGCCATTGGACCCTTACAGGACTCGCCTAACAATCTCCGTATCCACAGGGCAAATGGGTTGATCCCAGCACGGTTCTGACAGGGGCTCAAAGAGATCCACTGTCCACGGACCGTTATCTCGTAGCATCAAATGCTGCTTCATACTCCCTGGAAATCCTCCTTGGTTTCAATTCGTCGATATGTTAATTCAGCAGACCAACCCAGTATATGTCATCCTTTCTACTGCAGGTATCACATGCTCACTTCGACGTTGTCAAAATTCAAGCTTGTCTCTCGCTTAACTTTTTAAGATTACATGCTCGCTTCTGACAGTTTATACCCGCTAGTTCTGAACTATTGAACAGACTATCGATTCTCATTAAAGAAAAGAATTATGAGCTGAGAATTACGGACGATGCTACGGAGCGTGCCATAATGAAGATGCCTCTCGTTCTGATTTTTGTTTCCTTTCCCTTTTTCATCTGCTTTTAGGCTGACGCTTCATCCCTCTCTTGGTCTTTACAAGTATCGCTCGTTAAAGTCTCTCGTTAAACACCATGTATTTCAAAGGAGTTTCGTCCGTGGCTATGGGATTGTTGGTGGCGCAATCAGTCGTCGCAAGCCCTTGTAAACCGGTAACGACCCGTGCCGGTAAGTTCAAGCCAAACATTGAGTTTGGCTGAGCTACTCAAGTAGTGCCAAGCCACTGGGAATAACTTCATTGTCTGGTGAAAAATGTCTGACTAATTGTGATTAGGCTCGAGTGTCTTGACTACTACTTCGGAGTCTATAATATTTATCCCTACGTTGTCCTCTACAGGCTCTGGAACGATTGTTTTGGGGACAACGTCGACCGAGAGCGAGGCTGTTACTGCCGTGGAGACAAGTGTCGCAAGTACTGGTACAACCACTGCGATCGCCATCGATACAGCAACTTCCAGCACGAAGTTGCCTACAGAGGCCGGAGCCTCTTCAAATGCGATCGGAACAAGTACCCTCGCCACTGAGACTGCGATCGTAGCTGAGGGTAGTACTTCTATGGCTGACGACACTACGACTATCGCTGTCTCCTCAACTACTGAAAGCGGTACTAACACCGAGACAACTAAGGCTGAGGCACTTACTGGAACTTCAACTGCTATCGATGTCACCGCAAAGATAACAACCTGGACTAAAACTACTACTAATACAGTCGGTGAAACTAGTAGCCCAGCTGAAACGTCCCCTACATTTACAGATGGCACAACAGTAGCTGCTGAGGAGAGCACGGCACCAACATCTGAGAATGTTGCAACAACAACCACCACGACCAAGGACACAGCGACGCCTGTGTCTGTGGACAGCACGGCAACAGCTCAGGGGGTTTCAACAATGACTGATAGCGCCACCTCTTTATCAGATGGCAGTACAACAACACAAGCAACAGAGGATACTACTACATTGGTCGAAAGCACCACCATAACCTCTAATGACGGCACCACTACGATTGCAACTTCTTCTGGAGCCATTACTACTACAAAGTCTGACGACGTCACGAGCACAAATCAGGACACTACGGCCACTACGGTAACTCCATCTGAGAGCGGCGCCATAACTACCACGACTTCATCGGAATACAGCACTAAAGCGACTGATGCCAGTACAGGCTCAGCAACAGAGACTGGCGAGACCACGCTCTCTACCACGTCTTTATCCGAAGAGAGCAGTACGGCGACCGAAGATAGCACAACTGTCGTGACTACTTCATCAGAGGGCAGTACTGAAACATCTGGACTGGGACTGAGCGCAACAACTTCTGGTGACAGCACTACTATTGCCACGACTTCATCCGCTGAGATCACTACCGCTGTTGTTGCCTCATCAAAGGAGAGCAGTGCAACAATTGATGGGACGACTACTACAGCTGCTACTGCGGAGGGCAGCACTACGAGTTCTGTAGAAACTACTACAACAGCCAAAGAAAGCAGAACAGCTGAACAGAGCACAACGGCTGAAATGAGCACTGCGACTTCTGCGGAGAGTACTACAACTGCTGAACAGACCACTACAACGATCGATGAGATTACTACCACGACTGTCGAGACAACTACCGCAGCGGGGACCACCACCACTGGCTGTCCTCCTCCAAATACCGTCCTCGCAAACCCTACACCTCTATTCTCCTCGGGAGATTGGCATACTGATGAATACGGCACTGTCCAGCTCCCTTTCCAAGTCGGCATATATGACTCCTTCTCAGAAACAGTGTATGTCAGCGTGGGGGGCTGGTTATCAATCCTCGAAGCTCCAACGACGTACTACAATGGCAACTACGAGCTGCCCTTTTCTTACTACCCGCCCGTTTCCATATTTCCATACTGGCTCGATACGTATACCTTACCTGAGATTTGTAACACAGGCATCTGGTACGAGGTTCTCGAGACGGCCAGGGGACAGACGCTGACTATCGAGTACAACACGGTTCCTTACTCCGATACGACTTCCACGCCCGTTCATTTCACGGTTAGTCTGTATAAGGATCATCCAGGGCTGGTGAGGTTCGTGTACTATCGCACTGATCCTTATAGCGGCCCTACTGTTGGTGTGCAAGCTGGCGAGTCTTACTCGCAGTACTCTTTTGGCGTAGCGATGCCGGATAACTCCTACGTCGAGATTGACACGAGCAGTGGAGATGCTATCACAACCAGTGGCCAGCTGTGATGAGAACACGGACTTTGTTGATATAGAGAGCAGGATTATAGAATAAGTTGCATGCAGTTGATGTGATATTTAATGTATATAATGCATCACATGACGTCCAAGCGGTGTATCGCATGATACCAGAGTTGCGGTATTCATTTCCAATGCTTAAGAAACATGCATCATGTACGATTCCTCGAGCCTGTGTTCTTATACATCAACTATATAAGCAGAACAGAGCAGTTGCCCATTAGGAAACAAAGAGATATCAGACCTTAATATAGCATCAAAATCAATTTACTACAAGATATGATAAATCTATCCTAGGCTTATTCTACATTGCCTTAATCTTTTTTTCATTTAGAATCAAGGTCCTAAGTTTCTTCCTCCCCTAGCCTCGATACTGCACGATATTTACATCTCATTAGCAACATTGCCTTGCTATTTTGTAACAAAAACAATTCTCTTACGGCATGGCATAAGGATCATCTGATCTAAAGACATCGGTATTGCCCAGTATAGCAGCGGCCGACTGCAAGGTATGATAGATATGGGCCCTGTCTCTCAATCTGCAGGATCTTGAGTATTAGCCCGAGGGCCCGTTCTGTCTCGCCAGTTAACCAATGGACAGCCATTCGCCACTGTGAACCCTGTCAGTCAGCGGAAACCGCCGTGCATCTCCGAATCGACCCTTTTCCGTATTTGGTATGGCAGGTTGTATTACGATGTGGATCGTGCGCGTAGATAAAGATGCGTATCAAGCCTGTTTTTAGTTGTATGTCATTTAAGCATCATTTAACGTTAATTCATACCTCTGAAGACAGTTTAGTTATAGATTCACAAGTATATGTTCGTTACCAATCGCCCCTTGAGCCTGATCTTATCTGAATTGACTGATGGTTAGCTACTTGGCCTGGGAGTATCTAACTCGATGCCCAGAACGTATTTGCCGCTGATGATCAAATCACCCCCGTAATGTTATCCAAACCTGGTGTCAGATGCAAATACTACCTTCTCGATTGATTCAAACAAAAGTCTTAGTCAGCAGAAGAACTTCTGTAGTTTTCGTTTAGTCCCCATTCTCTTCCCGCCGAAGGATTCCTTGGCAACATAAATCCCATCAGCCTAGAATCAACCTACCACTAAAACCATCATGAATAACCTCACATTCGGCCCCCAACTTAGTCTCGATCGGTCGATACTTATCCAATACGACGCTGGGCATCCCCAATACCGTGGTTACGAGCAAATGCAAGGTAACACAGTGAAAGCAGAGGCGGGTTGACGTTGCTTCACCTTCCGGTTTGGGTCTAGACGCTAGGCAAAAGGAGCCCTGGGAGCAAAAGTGCCAGACTTATCGATGGACCGACTTCCGAAAATGTTTGGAGGAGCTTATTTTGGATGTATCTTTCTAGGTTCTTTTGATCGGGCTATCGCGTTGACTGTGGAGGTTGGGGTATCGTGGTGTTGGTCGTCATGATTCAAGTATAAAAGAACAAGTCTCTGGCTCTGGAAAGTCAGTTCCTCTCAACTCAGAATTAGTCAAACAAACCAATAACGAATATATTCCCTTCGAGAAATTCATCCACCGCCAAAATGAAGTTCCTCCCCCTCGCAGTCGCCCTCTTCGCAACCCTCACCGTTGCCGCCCCCTCCTCACCCAGCGACATTCAAGCCCGCTCCTGCACCTGCAAGAAAGTCGGCGACGACTGGATCTGCACCGGCACCAAGTGCTACGACAAAGTCAAGCGCGACCTCGTCCCTCGCCAGTGCTCATGCCACAAGATCGGCGACGAGTGGATCTGCAGCGGACCCAAGTGTCCCCGCGATCTTCCCGAGGAGAACAAGCTTGAGAAGAGACAGTGCTCGTGCCACAAGGTTGGAGATGAGTGGCTGTGCGGTGGACCCAAGTGTCCGAGAAGTCTGCCAGCTGAGGAGAGTGGGCTGGAGAAGAGGCAGTGTTCTTGTAAGAAGGTTGCTGGGGAGTGGATCTGCAGTGGACGTAAGTGTCCTCGGGACTTGTCGCACCTCATGGGTGAGGAGTAAGTCCTTGTTTAGTGGAGATATAGTGTCGAGTAAGTGGCTTCTTCCTTGGAGGACCTTTGTTCTGAGTCTGACACATTTCTACGAAGTAGACCTATTTCATTATTGCCAAGCTGGAATCATCCGGTCGATCATCAGTTAAATCCACCTCTGCAATATTAGGGCCTTGGCAAAAACTAGTCAAAGATGCAATCGCAGATGGTAGCACATGAAGATATGACTTACAATCTGAAACTTACAAACTTGTCCTTGATGTTACTAGCCAAGTTAAAGAGGTACCCTGACTCGGATGACAACAGTTGAGAGTCGAGTAACAATTCAATCGTGTATATTTTATTTATGCTCCTATGTATGAATAATATCAAGATCATGCTCTCTCTCCCCCCGTTTGACCTTCCAAGCCGCACTATGACTTAATCGTACAAGCTCCATAACAAACTCACTAATCTCCTGTATATGCTCAATCTCCTCCATCGGAAGCCTGTCAGAAGGAATCTTGCGTGTGATTTTGCTTATCGACGATAAGATGTGCAAATCGTTATCTGCCGAAGAACCAAGCGGGTGAATCAGGATGTTCATGAACAGTGGCATCGCAGCCATAGGCGCATAGTGCGATACTATCCATAGTGCGTCTTCTTCCCATAGTTCCACTATCTGGTCCAGGATTCGGAAGATTGACCGACTTGCTTCGATGGAAAGATCAGCGCTGGAGTGGACTACGCTATGGAGATCATCTGGAAGATTCTCCTCTAAATCGCCGCATTTTCGAACCAGTGTATGGATGTTGATGATTGTGAAGAGGTAGTCGAGCTGCAGGTTTATGAAATATGTCCTTTCTTTCATCCGATCTCTCTCGCTCAAAGATGCAGGGAGTCCGAACACCAAATCTGATGAGATTGATAACCGTGGTCGATAGCTTGCACTGATTGATAAGCGCCATTCTTCAAGCTCATCGTCAAGCTGTCGAACATGCGCGAGAAGTTCACCCTCTGTGTACTTGAATGCCCGTGGGGAACATAAAATGTTGCTTGCGTTTTCCTTGATTCTCGCGAGGTCTGTATCTCGCGGAAGGCTGTGGTACCATAGCGTTTGATCTTCAGCATCACTTATATCGCAGTGATCTGAAGTGAGTAGTGGTGGCTTGTCTGTTCGCAGAGACATATCTTTGTCATAGCAATAGCAGATCCAGAATAGGTTTCGGGTATGAAGTCTTGCTTGGTCGTCCAACGTTGGAATGTGTTGGGGAAAGATTGCTGGTCGTGATAGAGGGAAATGACCGCCGAGGTCACATACCATGCGACAGGCGCTGGCGAAGCTGACTGCTGCTTCACTACATTGTCCTCTGGTTTTTTGACTTGCCCACTGGTGTCGTCAGCCTAAGTGACAGTACTTGATGGTTATCATATCACTTACCAGAAGAAGAGTTCCCTGCAAGCTGTCCAAGCTAGTGATACCACTCACAACCCTCAACAACCTCGAGGCCTCAGTAACACAATCCCTCGACACAAAAGAAACCCCCAGATGCTGAGCATCAACCGTCCTCACAACAAGAGCAATCATAGCCCAAAGACAAGCCTCAGCAGGCGCCCTCCTCCCCAAATCACCAACCCCCTCATCAAACGCCCTGCTCAATGTCCCCTCAAAGAGGCCTCTCTCCAAAAACGGAAAGATAACAGCCGTTTTAGACTTGAAAAATAACTCAACGACATGGGCGCAGATAGCCCTCGGGGGCAGAACCCTCGGTGTTTCAGAAAATGAAACCGAGCCAAGCGGCGGCGCAGGATTACCGAAAATGTCGAAATTCTCGAGAAATACGCGCTCCCCTGCACCGTCTGAAATCCACTGCCAGCCGCGATCCGAGAGAATGCCTATTCCTTTAAAGTACCAGTTCGTGCCGATGTGGCAGCGACATAATCTGTAAACGGCCTTGGGGCGTGTTGAAGGCGATACGCCAATCGGACTTATCACCGGCTGGCGAGTGATTGGGGATGAAGCGAAGCGAAGACTTGTTGGTTCAGACCATGGTGAGGGGCCTCCAACGGACAAGTTTGTGCTATTCGTCAATGCCGTTTGAAGCGCCTCCTCGAGCGATTCCACGCGACGTGATAGTTCCTGGACGACATCGGAAGTAGTTCTGAAAAGGTCAGTATGAAGCACCCAATGGAACGGTTCAGCCTTGGCTGTCACAGTGAGTGAAAAAAAAAAACAAGCTTACCTTTTGTTTGGGTCCTTCTGGATCACTCTATCAAAGGTGCACGTGAGCCCCTGGCTGTCGCACCAGTCACACGGATCACCTTGAGTTTTGATCAGGCATTGAATCTATAGTGAGGGTTATTATAAGGGCTGATGTCATTGAGGGAAACAAAACATGTTTTTATTACCTTGCGCTTATAGCATGTGTCGCAGGCTCGTCGGGGAGGCATTGCGAGGGGGGATGCAAGTGTAATCGGAGAGACGGAATGAAACGGGGGGGATATGGACGGAGAGGCGGGTTTCCGTGGGGCAGAAAATGTAGTGATGTGTTGGTGCTAGAGAGACCTAGTGTGAGCGGTACAGTTGGCACGTGGATCTGCTGAATTAGAGTGTTAGCGAGACAGGGATCAAGATCAAATCGTTAGTGATTCTCTGGCGCATTTACCGCTGAGGCCAGAGAGGGGAACTGTTCCTCCGCGTGTCTCTCAATTGAGAAGGCAAAAGTAGTTGAAAAGGACAGAATAAGCTTGAAGCGTCCAGACGAGTCGACGTTTCATCCCAATCCTAAAATCTCGATCTGTCAAAACAGGCCTCCCAAGCTACAGGGTAGCATAAAGCGCTGTAACTTCAGGGCAAACCTTGGACCTGGGTACGATCGGATCAGCGCTTCCAGTTCCTAAACGTAATGCTAGACAAGAAGCGAGATTTATGATATTGCGGGGGGGAATCTGATAATTACAACACATACCCGTCACCAAATAAGCTTGATTGGACGGTATCATCAAGGGAGGCTGTGCAGATGAAGCAGAAACAAGATCAAGCTGTGGTCAGAGCTCCAATCTTTCATTTCCGTCTCCGATTACATAATTTACCCTCTTCACTCATCGCGGTATTCTATTGGCTGGCTAAAAGAGCTCCCTTGCTGACCCGCGCGGATCTTAGCTCCATTAAGATCTCGGACTTCCGCTCTCCGATGATATAAGCCAATGTTTGGTTTATCAGATCTTTTACAGTTGATCCATTGGTGGGACTGTACACGTTTTGTTAGTAACCGACAACAGCTCCCCTGTAGCTTCTCAAACTAAGCTTTTTAAACGTGGACGGAAAATGATGTTAGCTGGGTGATGGACCTTAGATATAAAGTGAAAAAACCCCACGGCCTCAAGCACCATGACTCACCCATCGCAGCTCACTGGTTTGGAGCTCACTCATTCCTCTACTATACACTATTCTGCCAAGGGCCTACGCTACAATGTCTGGCCATCTTGACCCAAAAGCCCTACTGGATCCTCGGCAGCGCTCCATCAGCGAAGTAGGCACCATATCCTCCGCCGGAGACACCACCGTTGTTCCTAGCATCAACACCGCTGAAATTCCCCAATATCTCGATGCTGGCAACGAGAAGCGCTTCCCCCACGATCCCAATAACCCTTTCAATCACAGCCCCGAGGTCTTGAACCAATTGCTCGACCCCAAGTCCCTCGATGTCCTCAAAGGTCTCGGCGGGCTGCCGGGCTTGGCGCGCAGTCTCAATGTTGATCTGAAAGCAGGTCTTAGCGTTGATGAGCTTAATAACCAGAACTGTCCTCGAATCAAAGTCTTTGGCCGCAACCAGCTTCCCGCCAAGAAACCAAAGTCGATTTGGCGATTGGCATGGATCACGTTTCAAGAGGCAGTGCTCATCATGTTGACTGTTGCTGGTACGATCTCTCTTGCGCTTGGGCTGTATGAGACTTTTGGTGTTTCGCATCAACCGGGTGATCCTACACCTGTTGATTGGGTTGAGGGTGTTGCGATTCTCGGCGCTGTTCTCATCGTTGTGGTTGTTGCTTCGCATAATGACTGGCAGAAGGAAAAGGCGTTTGTGAAGCTCAACACCAAGAAGGATGATCGCGAGGTCAAGGTTGTCAGATCGGGAAAGTCGATGCTTGTCAACGTCGTTGATATCGTTGTTGGCGATGTTATGAACCTTGAGCCGGGTGATTTGATCCCCGCTGATGGTATCTTCATCGATGGCCATAACGTCAAGTGCGACGAGTCAACTGTCACTGGCGAGTCTGATGCTTTGAAGAAGACACCTGGTGCCAAGTGCTTCGTCGACGATCCTATGCGCAATAAGGAACCCGATCCTTTCATCATCTCTGGATCTCGTGTCCTTGAAGGCATGGGCACCTTTGTTGTTACCTCTGTCGGCGTGAACAGCAGTTTCGGCAAGATCATGATGTCGGTCCGCACAGACATTGAGTCTACACCTCTCCAGAAGAAGCTTGAAGGTCTTGCCGTCGCTATCGCTAAGCTTGGTGGTGGTGCTTCACTCCTCATGTTCTTCATTCTCCTCTTCCGCTTCTGTGCCTCTCTTCCTGGTGATGATAGACCAGCTGAGGAGAAGGCTTCTACCTTTGTTGATCTTCTCGTCGTTGCCATCGCCATCATTGCAGTCGCTGTACCTGAGGGTTTGCCACTCGCTGTCACCCTTGCGCTTGCTTTTGCGACAACGCGTCTCTTGAAGGAGAACAACCTCGTTCGTGTCCTCAGAGCGTGTGAGACTATGGGTAACGCGACCTGCATCTGCTCCGACAAGACAGGAACTTTGGTACGTCACATCCTCCCAGCACAACACATCTTCTAACATCTAAGACCACGAATAAAATGACTGTCACCGCTGGCCGCTTCGGTTCCTCGAGCTTCACCTCCGACATTCCCACCTGGGCCACCACCCTCTCCCCCGAAACCCGCAAACTCATCACCCAATCCGTCGCCATAAACTCCACCGCTTTCGAGGGGACCAACGAAGGCGACGCCGCCTTCATCGGCTCCAAGACCGAAACCGCACTGCTCCAACTCGCCAAAGACCATCTCGGCATGCAGTCCCTCTCCGAAGCACGAGCGAACGAACAAATCGTCCTCATCGAGCCCTTCAACTCCGTCAAGAAGTACATGCTCGCCGTGATAAAGGTCCAAGCCGGATACCGGGTTCTCATCAAGGGTGCCTCGGAGATCATGGTTAGCTTCTGCTCTACTGAAGTCAATCCAGCGACTAGTGCTGTTGAGGCGCTGGATCGCAAGGCTGCTGATGATGCGATCATGGCTTTTGCGAGGAAGTCGCTTCGTACTATTGGGTTGGTGTACAGGGACTTTGAGGAGATGCCTGATCTTGAGAACTTGGGTGACCTGACCCTTCTCGGTATCGTCGGTATTCAAGATCCTGTTCGAGAGGGTGTTCCTCAAGCTGTGCAGAACGCTAGACGCGCTGGTGTTGTTACACGCATGGTCACGGGTGATAACCTCGTCACAGCACGAGCTATCGCCACAGAGTGCGGTATCTTTACCGACGGCATCGTCATGGAGGGTCCAGACTTCCGGAAACTCTCCGAGGAGGAGCTTGACAAGATCATTCCCCGTCTTCAGGTCCTAGCTCGTTCTTCACCCGACGACAAGCGTGTTCTCGTCACGCGTCTTAAGGTCTTGGGCGAAACAGTCGCTGTGACTGGCGATGGTACTAATGATGCGCCTGCTCTCAAGGCAGCGGATATCGGATTCTCCATGGGTATTTCGGGGACAGAGGTTGCAAAGGAAGCGTCTGAGATCATCCTTATGGATGATAACTTTGCTTCTATCATTACTGCGCTGAAGTGGGGACGGGCTGTCAACGATGCGGTGCAGAAGTTCTTGCAGGTATGTTTTATGTTCTTGAGATTGGTTTTTGGATGGGTGCTGACTTTCCAAGTTCCAAATCACCGTCAACATCACAGCCGTTCTGCTTTCATTTGTTACATCCATGTACGACGATAAGATGGAGCCTATCCTCAAAGCAGTTCAGCTTCTCTGGGTAAGTCACTCCTTCTCCAGATGCCTTTGGTGGTACTGACCTCTGCAGATCAACCTTATCATGGATACAATGGCTGCCCTCGCTTTGGCCACCGATCCCCCAACTGACTCCATCCTCGACCGACCTCCTCAACCCAAGTCAGCCCCCCTCATCACCATGAACGTAAGTCAGCTCTACCCTCCCTCCATATCCACCACTAACAATTCCAGATGTGGAAGATGATCATCGGCCAATCCATCTTCCAGGTCGTTGTCGTCCTGGTTCTCTACTTCGCCGGCGACTCCATCCTCGGCTACGACACTTCCATCGCTGCCGAAAAGCTCCAACTCGACACCATCATCTTCAACATGTTCGTCTGGATGCAGATCTTCAACGAGCTCAACTGCCGTCGTCTCGACAACAAGTTCAACGTATTCGTCGGCATCCACCGCAACCTGTTCTTCATCCTCATCAACGCCATCATGATCGGTCTGCAGATCGGAATCATCTTCATTGGAGGCCGCGTCTTTGACATTGACACTGATGGTCTGAATGGTGTGCAGTGGGCTATTTCTATCCTCATCGCTGCGTTTAGTCTGCCGTGGGGTGTGCTGGTTAGGATCTTCCCTGATGAGTGGTTTGCCAAGGTTGTGTACTTCTTTGCGCCGCCTTTTGTGTGGGCTTATAACTGGATGGGGAGGGGTTGGGCGAGGTTTATGAGGTTATTTAGGAGGAGCAAGAAGGCCGATGTTGAGGAGGATGGTAGTTCTTTGGAGGAGAGGCAGAGTAAGGAGAAATCTTCTGGTGTTGGGCCCATGATTGTTGAGCCTAGGAACTAAGTCATGGGATACTCAGCAAGATTGTACGGCAAAGGTTGGCAAAATTGGATAACTGGGGGGAATAAAAGCAAGGGATGGGACGGGTGCAACATGTTGAATACTTTATGGCACTGGCCTGGCGTTGATTAGAGGAACAAGTAGCGTATAGCACTTTCATTGAATGACTTTCAAACTTCAATTGCATCAATGACTTGATCAATCTCCATTGGCCACTGAGATGTGAACCCTGCATACCCCACAAGCAGTCACTCAAGTCGGAGGAACCCCTCCCAACAAACAAAATAATAGCCTACGCAAGCATCATGGTACCTAGGTATCTAGTTTCATTGCCCTCTGACTCACACGGAGTGGCTTGAAACTATCAAAAAGCTGAGTCTGTCTGTCCAAGCCCCTCGACACGGTCATAGCGGACCCCAAAATGTTGGATCGACTGCAACTTCCTCTTACGTGATTGGCTCCCGCGTATACCTGTCTCAACATGGCAGGTCTGTGAACTCGGCGTATGCCATTCACGAAACCAGGCAGCCAGCAAGGCTCCAGATAGTAGTAAAATGATAAAAAGGACTCCCCAGAGCTTGATTCTGGGCTCATACGTTCAATTTTTTCGATCTGATCATCTTACAGCAATCGGTAAACCATCGCCAAGATGGAAGACCAGCAGGACAGCATCATGAGCCAAGGCCTCTTTATCGGCCTGCTGGAAATGATATTTCCTGGCATGACATATCTCCCTTACTTCGCCGCCTTCGCCTTTTTGATCAAATACGCTCTTGAATCTTGGTCCGAATCCATCACCGCGCGCTTCATCTCCACCGTTGAAATTCACGCCCAGGATGAAACGTACAACTATCTTATGAACTGGGTCTCGCGAAACAACATCTCCCAGGACAATTATCGCCTCCAAGCTTCTACCGCTCTAAATAATTCCAACTTCACCTGGTCAGAAGACCAGGATGATAAGCCTGACGTTGACGACGACGAGGAAGACGATCCCGTGGGTAGACAAATCAATGAGATGCGATCCAAATCGTCGACATCACTTAATAACGCCAAACCGCTGTACTGGACACCTGCTTTTGGCACACATTTCTTCAGATACGAAGGCCGCATGCTGGCGTTCACTAGATCGCTTGAGGGTACAAACTATACGTCTACACCACGGCAGCCTGAGAAACTGGCCATATCCTGCGTTGGCCGAGACGCCACCGTTCTAAAAAGACTACTATACAACGCTCGCATCGACTTTTCTGAGAAACAGAAAGGAAAGACCGGTATTTTCCGCGCGACCAAACCCTACAGTGAAGATGAGATGTCGTGGACTCGCTGCATGTCGAAAGCAACGAGGCCCATGTCTACAATCGCCCTGGATGAGGGTCTCAAGGAAAAACTTATCAAGGACCTACGCCGATATCTCGATCGACAAACCAAACACTGGTATGCGACAAGGGGCATCCCTTATCGTCGCGGATATCTCTTCTCAGGACCTCCTGGCACCGGCAAAACGAGTCTGACTCTCGCAGCAGCTGGTCTCATGGGTCTGGATATATATATGGTCAACCTAAATTCCCCGCGTATAAACGAGGATAGCCTTGCATCTCTCTTCCAAAAGCTTCCGTACACCTGCATGGTCTTACTCGAGGACATTGACGCTACAGGATTAGCGCAGAGACGTGGCGCAGATACAGCGACGATGGGGTCTCAAGGACGAAAGAAGAAGAACGCAGAACGTCTTTCACTTTCAGGCCTGCTGAACATTATCGACGGTGCTGCTGCTCAAGAAGGACGCGTTCTTGTCATGACTTCAAATCACACCGAGAACATTGACCCAGCTCTTATTCGCCCGGGCAGAATCGACTTTACGATCAACTTCCAGCTCGCTACATCAGAAGCAGCCGAAGCGCTCTTCACTCAAATGTTCGACGTTCCAGATGTGGGACACAATTCAGAGAAGAAAGCAGCGAAGTCTCTGCGGGATCAGGCGAGGGAGTTTCGGGATAAGATTCCTAATCGTGCTCTTAGTCCTGCAGCTATTCAGGGATTCCTACTCACGCACCAGGAAGACCCTGATGGTGCTCTTGCTGCTGTTGATGGGTGGGTGCAAGACGCTCTGAAGCAGAAGGATGTTGTAGTTGAGGAAGATGTTGAATCTGAGAAGGAAGCCACAGACTCTGAAGAGGATGAGGATAGTGATGGGGGTTCTGACATTTCGTATCGGAGATGAGAAGTGGTTGTATTTATATATATTCCGTAAATAAAACGATTTTGTAAGTCAAAGATATGTGCTCAATGTAATTTAATTTTTGCTTTCTATTTGCTCTGTATGGCTGAGGCGAAGTAGAAGACTGCCTTGGCGCTTACATGCATAACTGACGGGGAACAAGTCGACAGATACCAATGCGCATTTTATTGTAGCCAATGAGAGCCTTATAAAAGGAATCAGGCTTTTTGTACAACACGAGGTTAGGCAGCAAGGCGTTCTGGTCAGTCTGGGGCATTGGAAATTTCTTTATCTTTATCTACGGGCCGCGTTTAAAGCTTCTGTGCTTTTTCAATCCTAGAGCTTACTGCTCATCTCGTTAACGACTATGCCTCCCAACGCTCCGCTTTCGACGCCAGTCCCTCCACAGTACCGACGCAATCTGTATAAGCGGGAAATACGTCTAGCTCTTATTTATAATGGTAAATGGCAAGACCCAATCTCATGTGTTTTCAAGTACGCAATGATCGAGAGCAATGAACCACAATCTTATTCAGCACTCTCGTACGTTTGGGGATCATCCCGGGCTACGGAGACTATTCAAATCGATGGACATGACCATGATATCAGCATTAATCTCGCTTGTGCTATTCGTCATCTGAGGGACGAGAGGAATTCTGTTCTCATTTGGATTGATGCATTGGTAAGAACTTTCCAGTCTTTAACTCAATATGCAAGATAATAATTAACTTTCATAGTGTATCAACCAATGCGATATCGGTGAAAGAAGTTCCCAAGTTGCCATGATGCGTGATATTTACGCATCTGCACAACACGTAACTGTGTTTTTGGGTCATGGCTCTTACCATAGGATCCCTAAGAACTATGTAACGGACCGCTTGCTCGCTCCCGTAAAATTCTCAAACGACCATCGGGATGACTCTCTGATCACTCAGTTTCACAACTCTTGGGAGACGATGTGCAGGCGCGCAGAGTGGTATTCGTTTTGCACTATCTGCGTCATACGAGCCCTATCAGACATTGATCGATACAGCGCAACGATTAAGTGTATTGCGGATGGAAAGCCTTCGTCTCGGCTAAAGCTTTTTGAGCTTGTTCGACGATTCATCAACAGTCAATGGTGGCAGCGTGTGTGGGTTATTCAAGAGGCCACAGTTACGTCTCAAATATTTGTTCAATATGGCAATGTCAAAGTGCCATGGGAAGTGCTTACGCGCTCTGCAAATATATGTGATAGCCTTGGCTGGGGTCGGCAGGATACAGGATCAGAGCTTTTCCTAGGCATCGAAAGAGAGCACGCCAAAGTCCTGCCAGTGCTTTCAAAGCAAATATTTGAGATCGAACGACTACGTATGGAGTGGGATGACGGCAAAGCAACGACCCTTTTGTCGCTTTTACAAGATTTCTCAAGTCGTAGGGCCACCGATGACCGAGATAAAGTATTTGCTCTACTCGGCCTCGCGAGGGATATCAAAACGATCATGCCAAATTATTCACTGAACACAGTCCAAATCTATCGAGACACCATCATTAATCTCATCAAACACAGTGGCTCGCTGACAGCCCTTTCCGGGGATATGAAAAGGAAAAACAGTGGCGGTATTCCATCCTGGATTCCCGATTGGAGTGTTGCAATGGAAGAGCCAGATCGTCGGCGCATGCAACTTGATGGATTGTACAAGAATTTCCCGGATTGGCGGATCGCATTGATCGACCGCGAATTTGACTACTGGGTGGCTGTGACAATGGATATGCATAGCCTCTACAGAGAGATAGAAAGCGGCAAAAGAAGACCGATCCCAAAGGACATTGTTGATGGCCTAATTTCCTACGAGAGGATTCTGACAAAAATCTACAAGTCAGAGCCGATAGATATCGAAATTCTCGATTGGCCAAAGATACGGGCCATCAATCAGTGTGAATCACTCTACAGGCAATTTCAGCACGATAGCTGGACCTTCTGGTGCAGTATATCAATTGAGACAGTTATCGAAGCACACCTATCCCTACCACTGGCACTATCTTTTGGAGAGGGGTACAGACTGGATATTCTCAGGTGCTGCTCGATGATATACTGTAGAAGGGCCCTTGACTTTTGGCTGAAAAGAGTGCAGTATCTTGAAATAGAGCGGTACGAAACAAGTCCCTTACTGATATCCGACGAAGAGAAAGAAGAGATTGTGGCAGAGCATTGTGAGCATCCCACCATCGAGATTCTCACATCTAGGGATGCTGCTCGGAAGTGGGTTGAAAACATGCGCAGAAAGTTTTATACAATGGCAGGACACATCACAGACCAGGCTTCGTCGTCAATAAAGTTGGAAGCAACTGATGCAACTGTCGCCCTGGAGAAAGACCGCATTTTGGATGTGTCCATGACATTTGGTTATGATCAGCAAACACCTGCCAATGGGGGGCTGCTAACTCAATTGTCTCGTCTAATGCGTGTGGCTTCAGGAGTTCTGAGCCTCTGGACAGTGTCTGATGGTGCATTTGAAGCAGTGCAGCACGCCAAAGACGCCTGCAAAGATGCCTGCAAAGACCTTATAAATTTACATCGCAACAAGAATATCAGCACCACCGATCATGACTATGTGGCGCTGTTTTCAAAGGCTGTTGTTTTCATGGGCCCAGCGACATGGATGCGACATCTGAGAGATGATGGTGATGGCCAACCAAAAGTATCTCTCTACGAAGAACACTTTGTGAACTTCAGGAGGGAGAAGAAAGATGAAGTATCCAGAGAAGGCGAAGATGCATTGCCTATAAGCTCAAAGTTCATTGATATTGTCGACCAGTGTACTGAGAGGCTGCTCACCTGGGTTGATCCGGCCTCTCGCATTTTTACGATCAGTCAGTGGGTGGTAGTTGCGCAGAAGCTAACAGAGCCAGATTTTGCTGTGAGTTTTGTTAGAGCTCTTGTTGGGGACATATATGAGGAGTCACCTGGCAAGTTTCGCCGGCTTGGTCAACCTGAAATCAGACTAGTGCAGAAGTGGTTTTTGTCATACCTACTACCCCAGCTTTGTGATATGAATCCAGAGGTGCATGGCGAGCTTTGGAGAAAGCTTTTGTCTGAAGGAGTTGTGTTCGATGCGGATTTGGATGACATGAAGCTATTCGATACCGAGATGAGGCTTACCACTGAAGGGAGGGTGTTTTTCATTACAGGAGACCACAGGATGGGGTTTGGACCAGCATCAATGGTAGTGGGGGATGAGATAAGACTTCTGCCAGGTGGTAACAGTCCGTTTGTGTTACGGCCGGTTGGTAGGATCGGAATCAATTCACAGCCTTCATATGAAGTTATTGGAGATTGCTTCTTTCTGTTGGACTCCGAGGAAAAGGATAATGGCGAGGATGGTCTATTGCAAGGATGTCTTCCTATGGAGATCCTGAGTGAGCTTCTTCCAACAGGTTATAGGTCTAATGATATTCTCTTATTTTAATAGCTTTTAAATATAGTCTGTAGGTCTTAAGGTGTAAGGATTTCTACTTTGATAATTTCTATATCCTATAGGCCTTTTATGTCCTTCAAATAGAAACCGAGCGGAGAAGATCTTTCACGGCCTTTGACATTTGTTCACAGTTAAACAAAGCAGACATGACAGTTCATATTTGAGAAAGTGTGCTAATTACATGGGCATAGAAATCCCCAGACGCTTCGTGAAAGGACTATTCCAAATCCCCGTCGAGTTCAGCTCCTTATAAACAGCCAGCCATCTCTCCGACTCAGGATACATCCTCTCCAAGTCCCCGTCCTTAACCGTATCCAAATCTAATCCCCAATGAACCCTAACACCCTTCCCCTCCTCTCCCTTACACAACTCCCCCCTCATAAACTTCAACAGCTCCTCCCCCGTCTTCACCCCAAACAACATATCCATCTCAACCATCATCGTCGTCCTCCCCTGCTGCGGTGCCAAAAATGCACTAGACTCTTTGACAAACCGCAGCGCAAACGGCCCAGCCAAAAACCACTTCTTCTCACTAGCTGCTTTCTGGAACAGTGCGAGGATGCGATCGACGATGGAGACTATGTCCTTGTTGGCGTCGAAGGATAGTTCCATGGCGTAGGCTTTTACGTCGTCGACGGCGCCGATGTTGAGGACTTTGAAGCTCTTGTCGATGTAGTGCTTCACGGGGAGACTTTCCATGGCGGTGGTGATTATGCCGGGGCTGTGGAGCGGCCAGCGGTTGAGGATCCAGACGAGGATGTCTTCGACCCAGTGGTGTTGGGCGAGGAGGCCGGCGAGCCAGTTGGGGAATCCGCGACTGCCTTCGCGCTTGGTAGCCTTTGAGACAGTGCGGATCGTAGTGACTGCGATGTTTCTTTTCATTGTCTCATATGGGTTTAGATCGATCTCGAAGTAGTGATTCTGCAAGGGATCAGAAGCAAGACCCCCTTTGAGTTGGGACTTATAGTCTTGCCAAGTCGTCAATGATCGGACTTCGCTGAGAAAGAACGTGGGTACCACTTCGACGATGTAAGAGTAGATGAGACCTAGGCAGCCCATTGATATGAGAGCTGCTTGGAACCAATCATCATCCTGCTTGAGTTCCTGAGCGTCGCCTGGGACGAACTTGGCGGGATCTGTGATACCATCCTTTGGCTCAATTTGATAAACCTTTCCAGTCTCAGAAACAAGGACGATAGCTCTGACAAGACTAGCTAGGTTTCCAGAGTCCTTACCACTGCCATGAGTGCCAGTTGTAATAGCTCCAACAAGAGTCTGTCCGTCATATGCTCCCATCGTCGCAAGAGCTTTCCCCATCTTATCAAGCTGCGCGTTCAAATCCTTGATTGTAATGCCACTCTCGACAAGAACATGATCTAAAGCTTTAGAAGGTTCTTTCAAAGTCTCAGAGTCCAACTTCAAGAACTTGTTCATCCCATGAGGATCAAGAAGAATCCCATCTGTAGGACAAATGTTCGAGAACGAATGGCCCGACCCAACAGCCCTTACATTAAGTTTCTGCTCTCTACCATCCTTGACAGCTTGGAAAAGATCTGACAAGCCCTTGGGATAGCGCAAGAACTTGGGGGTACATTTCTGCTGGCCGATGCAATTTTCCCATGAGGCTTTAGGGACAGGTCGAGGCCTCACGAACTCATCGCCGGGAGGCCTGGGGACTCCTTCAATTGAGTCCTTGAGATTCTTAATCTCTTGGAACAATTCTCCGTTCAGAGATGGGTCGATTGTACGACGGTGAATTTCTTCAGCGAGGGTAGTGTTTGTTCGATCATTGTCAAATTTTTGGACGAGATCTGCTGCGGATAGGTTTTGGAGATCCATAAGGTGCTATGATTAAAGATGATATTTAAAGCGAGAAATTGTAGTTGTATGGGAGATGAAGAGATAACCTTTGGGCCTTTTATTCCAGAGTTATAGCTTTCTATTTGGCTTTTTCTAAAGAATATGAAGAGGTCGACTGAGACATATTGACCAAAGTTCCGTTCCTCATGGGACGAAGATACGGTAACTACGCAAGCCACAGCCGAACTAGCAACTCGACACTTCTAAAAACGGGGGGCTACAGAATCTATAGCTGGCTAGACCATTGAATGGGTCAGCTGCATGTCCGAGAGTTTGAGAAGCTGACAATCAATACAATGTTATCACATTTGAAGCCCTTTGATCACAAGCGACTTACGGTTCTAGCCTTTTGTAGATGCTCAGCTTCCAAAGAGGTTCTTTATCTCTGACTGTGCCGCTGCTCTTTGCCTGATTTGGAACGGCTGAACAGTTCAGCTCGCCACTTCACTCTTAGCCCTTTATACCTCTAAGCTGTTTACTCTAAAACCTTGAACCATAGGAGATGCAATATAATTAAGTTATGCGGTCACACTGGGCTTTTTGACCCCAAACACAATAGGCCGTAACTGCTCAAGCCAGCCTCAGGCTTACAGCCATCGGTGGATTGAAATGTTGGAGCCGTGAAAACTACCAATCCATCCTTGATCAGGCGTAGGATAGAGCGGGGAAGCGGGACATAGCCACGAGCCAATAAGGGGGAGCTGAAACGTTGGAGGAAGCCGAGTAACCAGCTCGTGAGATTCAGTCTTGAGTCTGATCGGCACGGCCCGGTGTACATCATCTAGCAATCGGCGGGAGAGTTACGCACGCTAGATCCATAACGTGATAATGGAAAGCCTCGGCGCTGCCGCTATAGACAGAGTAGTGATACCTAGCTTGGTCTTTTAGTGGAGAGGACAGGTGTTGCCAATATGTCTTTACCGGAGCTGGCCTAGTGCGATATTCTGTTCTGGAAGCAGTTATCATTCCTCGCTCGACAGACCAATACAAGGGTTGCTTGTAGTCTCTTACCCTCAACAGAGTTAATCGTGTTGAACTTGTTATAAACTACAGTTACAACCCTTGAAGACGAATTAGGAACTTGAGGCCTATGCAAATAAATATTGTATGCCACGGCGGCGGCACGACAAGCATATCACGCGTCACTGGCGTGTGGCTTGAAGGTATCATCAATATCTCGGACATCTATGGCCTAGAGGCTCGTGATGTAGCTGGTATGGCCGAGAGATGAACCGCAGTACCTACAAGCGGTCCCAACATCTCTGATGCCGTGGGTCAGGGATTTGTCTTTGGGAAGCGAAATATTCAATTCGTGCCTTAATGTTCGGGAGACTTTGACCCCTCGGCGGCAAGCGAGTCGCAATACTAAGATGCCTTTTTACTAGCCCAGTCTTCCACCATCTTCAGAACGCCGCCCGGACGGGCCCCATTATATCCCACGTGCCGCATCCATTCTCCCAGTGTCTTGATACGATTGGGATAGATACGATCAAGAATTTCTGTATCCCGTGGTGGAGTGATACCATCGCCCCAGTACTTCCACCAAGCACCAAAGTTCTCTCGCCAACTCATGACTGAGTCATCCCGTGATGCTTCGGGACCTAGAGCCCAGTTGACGTAAGCACCTGGATATGGCTCTGCATAAGGTGCATATGACTCGAACGGCACGCTCTGGTGCGAAGCTGACCTGCCAGTAATCTCGGTAAAAGCCTCAGCAATCTCATTGAAGCTCACATTATCTGTCATTACAGAGAGATCAATGCCTGCCGACTCAGATGGGTTGTCGAAGATCCAGAGGTTGTAAATGCCGACGTCACAAAGGGCGATCAAGGGGAGCTTCGTATCGCTTGCTATTAATCAGTGTTAGCCAGGTACTTCATGTTGCCTAGACCTCTTGCTGAGATTACAAATACCGCCTTTACGCCAGGAGGGTGAAGGCATAGGAAGTGACTTACGGGCTGGATTAACCCACAGAAAGGACCCATCGGGCTGAGCTTTAGGAGTAAACATGCCATCTATGAGCATGTCCATATACGAACCGGTACTAAAAAGCGTAGTCTTCATAGGGCCTTGGCCTTGTGCAAGAATAAACTTGCCCACCCTGCCCTTGGACTCCATGTGCCCGCAGTGGTAAGTCTCGTCAAAGTTGGCATGGCCCAAGGCATATTCGATGTTGGCCCAAACATAGTGCTGTACATGCTCAGACCTCGCAATCTCATAGGCCCTAAAGCCATAAAAGAGTTCGTCTTTTTCGCCTAGAGTAAATCCATCAAGATTTACCCAGGCACCGTATACGCCTTTAAAGACACGATGTAGGTCTTGTTGGTTTTCTTGAGTGCCCTGAATAAGTGTTGCATTCGGCAGGGCGGCGAGCTTCTCGGCGCGGGAAGACTTGGGGTTTCGAGTCAAGACCCTGACGAGATAACGTCCAATTTGCGATAAAGCTTTTAACGGGTGCCAGCATAAGATTGAAACGTTGTTCACATAACAAAATTCTTACCTTGTACTACCGGCATGCCCTGAGCACCAGTACCACCGATAACGGCGATTTCTCTCAGCCCTGCCATTCTGTCTTCCGGGGACGTATGAAGAAATTCCTTCTCAGATTGAAAGCCAGATTGGATATGTTGTCGAATTGAAGGCAGAAAGACATTGCAGCTCGGGAACCAGGTCGTTACTTATTAGCATCGAGATCGTATAAGCTGGCCCATGATTCCGGATGGTTCTTTACATCTTTATTGGTTAGCCTGAAGTGGATACAATGAAATCCAGCAATATGCTGCATGCTGTACTCCGTCAAAATTCGTGCCATGATCTACAAACCTTCCGCGGAAGGTTTCGAGCCCGAGTCGCGGAGTCATCAAAGCCTTATAGGCAAAAGGACGCATGACTCAGTTGTCACGAATATGAACAGTCCAAACTTTTGCCGTGACGGTTTGGGCGGGCTGGGAGATTGTCTATCGTGGGAAGCCTGTGACAGTGGCTATTGATGAGGAAAATTAGAAGTGGGACGTGACAGCGGTTAACAAATATGCAAACATTGAAATTCCCCGTGAAGGAATTTCAGGCGAGTCTTATGCATGAGAGCGAAGGAACACCGCGATGCTGCCTTGAAAGACTGGAAGGTAGTCTTCTCAGTTCCTTTTACAGAACTTTATGGGTTATTAATCGATAACATTGTTTCCATTGAGAACTTGAGTCATGTTGATTATCGAGATCATAGTCTCATCATCTGAACAAAGTCATATACAAGAAGTGTTAACCCACCAGGCCCAGCCCAGCCTCATTACTGTTGTCCATTAAACCCCGTAAATCCATTAGCACTATTCCCCAACGTATCAAAACCAGGATATATCTGCCCCCAGTTCACAAACTCCGTCTGCGGCGTCATACCCCCCGTGGGAATAAGTTGCTCAGGCATCATCTGCGGATACAGAACCCCATTATTCCAAGCCTGCACATCCGCCCCATCCATCCCCAGCATCAGCCCCTCAAACCCAGCATCAGGGACGACCTCATTAACCGTCTCAGGAACTTGACTTCCCCTCAGCGCAGTCCTAACAGTCCGCACACTATCTCTATGCCCAAGCATGACACTCCCACTCTCTTCGGATCCATCGTCCATTACAACGCCGGAATCAGGACGAGGCATAATACCGCGTGGTTTGCGGACGCTTTGTGTTGTTTGGGAGCGGATTATGTCGTTCTTTTTGTTGCTGCGGTTTGTGTAGGGCATGCTTTGGGCGTTGGCGATGCATTGGTCTAGAGTCTCGATGAAGCATTGGTAGAATTTTGTAGAGAGGGTTTCGAGGGTGGCGGGGTTGGAGATTTTGTCGAGGAGGGAGTATTTGAGCTGGTCGAATGCTTCGCGGTACTTGGCTTCGACTTCGAAGTGCTCGATCACGGGAGTGTATTCTGCTCAAGTCAGTCGTGTCCTAGCAGATAATGACCAACGGATACTCACCGTATGGTCGAACATCACTATCATCGTCGTCAGGAAACACGATATTCCAGATTTCCTTCCACTGAACCTCGGGCGAAGTACCGCTCGCCCTCTTCCTACTCAACAGCTTCGTCGCTGTTTGAGGATCGATGCCGCTTTCGGCGTCTGCATCTGCGATATCGCACATATACTCCTTGGGCAAACGCTGATGATCACGTAGTTCTTTACGTGTAGGAAAGTCGCGACTACATCTATCACAGACAAAAGCAGATGGATCATCGCGCTTATGCTGTTTAACAATGTGTTGCCTCCAAAATGTTAGTAAACTTCGTGTATGATAGGATGGTTACTGACCTGAGCTCTGCGAACTTGGGAAAATAAGTCATGGCGCAGCTATGATGGTCTCTCACATTGAACCGATGAGGATTCCTCTTTCTAAACGGGCAGCTCAATCGAAGATTCTCATCTTCCTTAGGATTCGGTCGCGAGCGCTTTGTAGGCAGATAACCTGACCCTTCACCATCGCTAAACTCATCGCCGTCGTCTTCACGTCTCCCCTGCTTCTTCCTCTTTCCGCCTCGACGATCGCCATTAGCGTCTTGCGAGGGTGTAGAAGAAGAGCTCGACGTTGACATTGTGTGCGACAATTGACCGTCTGAAGCAGATTGCCAAATATGCTGGCTTATGTCTTGAGTGAAATTGGAGACGAGACTTTGGACCTTGTCTTGGGGAATTGAAACGTCATTGAGGTCGACGCCGTAGATGACTTGAAGTGCGTAATTGAGCACTGAGTTTGCATCCTCTTGCGACACTTCTTCAGAGTCATCTTCATCATCATTACACGCATTATCCGTGCGATGCGACTCAGTTGTTGGCGTAAGAACCCTCTCCTCCTTCACAAAGGACTCTGTACTGGGGCTGCGACCGTAAGCGACAAGATCGCACGGAACCATCGGAAGACTCACCTCGCAGGTCTGACCTCTTGCATAACAGGTCTTGCATGCGCTTCATTCAAATTCCTAATCTTGATATCAAACTCCGGATATCCCGTGATAATCGCATCCTCATCCTCATTAACAAACGTTGAGCAAGTTCCACTCGAAGGATTATGTCGATGGCAGATCCGACTCGCAGGCCTCGACCCATCCAGCGTCGCCGCAGCAAACTGCTCCTGGATCGAGCTCGCATACGTGGTACTGATCGGACTCGCCAGTGTAGAAAGTGAATGCGTCGTCGCAGAATCCGGCACATTCGCTGAAGAAATACTACTCATCGACGACTCTGTCGGTGATCTGAGACGGAAAGCCCCGGGGGTAAAGTGCAAGCTCTCAGGTACTCTTTTGCCATTTCGCTGGTTCAAAGAGGGGAATTTGGAGAGCGGTGCGTCTCTCATGCGCAGAGGAAGATGGTGAAGACCAGCTTCGCCGATGTGGTTATTATCTCCCATTTTCGCTATGCGTTTTACCAAAAAAGAAATGGAGAAATTCTGGAGGCGTTTGTTTAGTTTGGGTGGTGCATGAAAGCTGACGCCATTGAAGATGCTTCGGAACTTACAGGGTGAGATTAAAGGGATATTTTATGCAAAAGTTGTAATACAGATGAAACACGGTCAAAGGAGCGTTGACGATGATTGAAGGAGTGAATGAACCCGGCAGGTTTGACAATAATTATGTATGATCAAGTTGAGAAGAAACGAAGGGTAGGCATAAGCAGTGTTATATTAATGGAAACAGAAACAAGGGAGGGAGAGGAGGCAAGTCGGACATCCGTTTCACCTCATCTCACTCTCCCTCTCGCACAGGTTGCCTCGCCTGAAGCCTGCAGCCAAAAGTCCTAGACTGTTGATCTAATTGGCAAGGCCGTTTTATTCTGGTCCACTGCGCTGGTATGAATGGGGTAAGACTCGAGATGATCCTTGATGACAGGGGGTTATGATTCGCTCGTGATGGCCGTTGTTGCATGGGCTGTGTTGCTTGTTTTCCAGGCACCAGAGAATGGAACTGATGAAATGAACTGATCAGCCCTACGGTTCCCAGTGGTTCGCTCACGGGTCAGCGTTGGGAGCTGGCTGATGCCATCGTGTTCATTTCACATCCCCAGGTTGACTCTGACGTGCTGTCGCTTATCGACCCTTGAATGCAGATGATGTGGCATTATCGCTTAAATCTGTGAGTAACGGTAACGACGCACAGCATAATGCAAGCAATTTACTTAATTAACTATGCTTTTTATGGCGCCCCTTCATAGCATGAGCTGTTCTCTCCATCCATCATTAGAATAGCTTCCACCCGCAACTCACTCTCCAACCCTCAGAATCTCAGCAGCCCTCAAAACAGCCCTCGCACTCCTCTCAACCCACTCCTCAGCCTGCGTCAAATTCCCCTGATCCAAACTATCCTGCACCGCCGGAAAAACATCCGCGCCATAACCACTATCCAACCCCGGCGCACTAACAACATTATAAAACGAAAACCTGCCCGGCAGCAATCCCTCGCTCGCGAAACCTCTACTAAACGACTTGTACGCCGCATTAACAGCACCCAGCAGAACAGAATCGTTTAGAGCGAGCGCTTGTTTGGCTAGCGTAGAAATGCGCTTTCCTGCTTGTTCGAATGACGATACTGCTGACGAGAGAGGCGTGAGATCGAGTTCGTAGGAGGGGAAGCGGTCGGTGAGTTTCTCTTCAAGATCTTCAAAGATATCGCGGAGGGCGGTGCCGGCGTGGGTGAGATCGAAAGGGATGAGGGGATCGTCGGCGATGTGGTATGTCAGGAGAGTGACGAATTGACCCATTGCTGTGTGGAGATGGAAGCCTGGGTCTGCGTACTCGGTCATCCAGCGGTGTGTATCGTAGAGACTGAGTTATGTCAATTGGCGTTATGGTAAGCAGAACGGAGATACCTACGTATGGTATGCGTAAACAGCATCTTTAGGACCAGGGCCTCCAGCAATATCAAGCTGCAAGCAGTTAGTCACACTCCCGATTTACTCTCAGCTAACACTTACAGAAGTTATGCCGTTATGGTAGAAAGCAGCATAGTCACTACCACTTCCCATAGCAGGCAAAACGCCCTCAGTAGCATTGAACCACGCATCATACAGCGTCGGACCAGCACCATAGCCCTCTGGAAAGATTATCTTCTTCATCGTCTCAATAGCAATGGTCTGAATCTCCCCTGATCCAACAATCTCTGCTCTGGGACCAGACACAGCTGTGTCGAGGTTGATGTACGCAACCGTCTTTTCAATAAGTTCCGGAAGATGGTCCTCGACCCATTCTGTGCTGCCCATGAGACCAAACTCTTCAGCGTCCCAGGAAGCTAGAATACTGCGCACCGTTAGTGTTGAGTTTGAGCTGGGTTGGTCGACTTACATAGTCCGACGAGGCTTCCATCCGTTTTCAACGAGCTTCCCAAAAGCCTTGGCCATCTCAATAAGCAAAGCACCACCTGACACTGCATCCGCCGCACCACCAGCCGTCCACCCATCCCTATGATTCCCAATAATGACATACTCATCCTCATTCGTGCCGTTAATCGAAGCAATAACATCCCACGCCGGTTCAAGTCTCGTATCCATGATGTTTACAAGATTGAGGGTAGTTCCTGGTGCAGGGCCACTATG